GGTTAGCGCAGATAGCTCTCTTGTAGCTTTGCGCGAAATTAAAAAACAAACAAACATTTTACACTTTCAGTACACAGACTAACAACAATATTAGATTATACTTTTGTTGCTAAGCGTCATGTCATAAAAGCTGTTGTTGGAACGTAGTGTTACGAAAACGCCCTGAATTCATTTCATGAATGATTTTAACTTTGATTGGCTCACAAAGGAATTTACAGACGTTTGACTGTCTCTACTGTACTTTTCTGCCTCTTTGTTGGTCAAGCTTGATATCGCTTTTTTTTTCAGTTAGCTATTAAATGTGAGGTTAAGGTATACTATGGGGTGAGGTGGTAGTACTTGTCCCGTCACTTTTGACGGGCTATACACTACTATATATATAAATTATGCAGGGGTGTACAAAATAATGGAATCACTTCACATCTTAAACTCTAATATTTGGTATCTCTAAAAGGAGAAAATGTATCCGTACGGTAACTTAACTGTGCATTACATTATTCTATTAATGATGTTAGAAAAACACGTAGGCTCAAGAAGTCTTGATGAAAATGAATAAAATCCCTGCAACCCGAGCGCTTTCAAAAGGTCCGCCTTTCGAAAGCACTCGAGTTATAGGGTTTTTATTCATTACATTATTCTATTTCATTAATTTGTTCTGTGAGCGAATAATATGTTATTATTTGTTCAGGAAATGATTCTAAAAATATCAAACTAAAAATCTCTATCAGATTTCCAAAGAGGCATTATTGTGGGTAAAAGTACAGCTGGATTCTCATATTAGTAGGTGAATGTATAGCTGGAGTCCCCTGATAGTAGATAAACATATACCTGGATTCTCATGATAATACATTATTGTATAACTGGATTACCATGGTAGTAGATGAACGATTAGCTGGATTCTCCTGATAGTGTGTGAACGTATAGCTGGATTCCCATATTAGTATGTGAACGATTAGCTGGATTCTCCTGACAGTGGGTGAATGTATAGCTGGAGTCTCCTGATAGTATGTGAACGATTAGCTTGATTCTCCTGACAGTGGGAGAATGTATAGCTGGAGCCTTCTGATAGTATGTGAACGATTAGCTTGATTCTCCTGACAGTGGAAGAATGTATAACCGGAGTCTCCTGATAGTATGTGAATGTATAGCTGGAGTCTCCTGATAGTAGGTAAATATATACCTAAATTCTCATGATAATACATTATTGTATAACTGGATTATCATGGTAGTAGATGAACGATTAGTCTATTCTCCTGATAGTGGGTGAACGTATAGCTGGATTCTCATATTAGTAGGTGAATGTATAGCTGGGGTCTCCTGATAGTATGTGAACGATTAGCTTGATTCTCCTGACAGTGGGTGAATGTATAGCTGGAGTCTCCTGATAGTATGTGAATGTATAACTGGAGTCTCCTGTCAGTGGGTGAACGATTAGCTGGTGTCTCCTGATAGTGGGTGAACGATTAGCTGGATTCTCCTGACAGTGGGTGAACGTATAGCTGGATTATCATGGTAGTAGATGAACGATTAGCTGGATTCTCCTGATAGTGGGTGAACGTATAGCTGGATTATCAGTGATACAAACAAACAAAACTGAATTCGAATCATTTTATCTTCCCGTAATTTCATGCTCGGATTATTTTCATAACATTGTGCAGTTTTTATTCAGATACAAAGTATTTCATTTATTATGCTACAGGCGTTCCTGTATCTAGTATTATTAAACCATGTACATTTTCATTGATTTTTTTCATTGGTAATAACGCTGCACTCTGAAATATATACGTCGCTTTTAATTGCTTATCATGTTTGACAGCAAATTTGATTTTCTTCTTCGTCTCTTATGCTTGTAAAGTTATTAAGACGGAAAAAATTCATTTATATACCACGAATGAATTCATGTTTTTAACTAAATGTAACTAGACTTTCACGTACTGATCTGTTAAAACTAATTTGTTTGGCACATTATCTGAGAAAAATACACAGAAATACGCTTTGTAGCACTTACAACACTCGTTTCTGTTAGTTGTGAGATACATCATTAGAACACGAGTTTCTGTTAGTTGTGGGACAGATCATTAGAACACAGGTTTCTGTTAGTTGTTAAGCAGATCATTGGAACACGAGTTTCTGTTAGTTGGGAGATACATCATTAGAACACGAGTTTCTGTTAGTTGTGAGACAGATCATTAGAACATGGGTTTCTATTAGTTGTAAGACAGATCATTAGAATACTCGTTTCTGTTAGTTGTGAGATGCATCATTAGAACACGAGTTTCTGTTAGTTGTGAGACAGATCATTAGAACACAGGTTTCTATTAGTTGTTAGGCAGATCATTGGAACACGAGTTTCTGTTAGTTGGGAGATACATCATTAGAACACGAGTTTCTGTTAGTTGTGAGACAGATCACTAGAACAAGGGCTTCTGTTAGTTGTAAGACAGATCGTTAACACACGATTTTCTTTTAGTTGTGAGACAGATCATTAGAACACTCGTTTCTGTTAGTTGTGAGACAGATTTTTAAACGTGTAAAATATTACCAAAATTCTTTGATATTTTGTGCAAGATAAAGAAAGTACTTTAGGCAGGAGATGGTGGGGGAAAACTACCGAGTAAAATCGTTTTATAAGCTATACGATTTAATGTTAGGGTTCAGGAGGAGCTCGAAACTTTATATTTTAGGATATATTGGTTGTATTCACCTCCGAAGCTGGATTTTATTAGTTGGGTTAATAAAATTACGGTAATAGCCTTTTAATAATTAACCATCATCTAAAGATAGTTCTGTGTAAAGTACAGAGTGATCTAACGAGAGATACAAACTGATTTCTTGAGGGAAGGATATAATACACTAACGACATAAACGTACATTACTGAAATTGAACACGTGGCTTGTAACAGTGTCAGTCATAGCCCTTTGGCTTGTAACAATGTCAGTCATAGCCCTTTGGCTTGTAACAATAACAGTCATAGCCCTTTGGCTTGTAACAGTATCAGTCATAGCCCTTTGGCTTGTAACAGTATCAGTCATAGCCCTTTGGCTTGTAACAGTATCAGTCATAGCCCTTTGGCTTGTAACAGTATCAGTCATAGCCCTTTGGCTTGTAACGATATCAGGAATAGCCCTATGGCTTGTAACAATGACCGGCATAGCCCTTTGGCTTGTAACAGTGTCAGTCATAGCCCTTTGGCTTGTAACAGTGTCAGTCATAGCACTTGGCTTGTAACAGTGTCAGTTATAATATTTCGCTTGCAACAATGTCAGTTTTAACATTTGGCTTGTAACAATGTCAATTAGAACACTTGGCTTGCAGCAATGTCAGTTATAGCATTTGGCTTACAACAATGTCAGTTATAACACTTTAGGCACGCGGAAACACTGGCGGGAATACTAATGAGAAAAAAATGGAATTGGACATTATAACTAGAAATACGTTGAGGAGATTACTGGAGGGAGGAGAGCCTGTGCCAAGACCTGTGCCATACTCCTCAAGCGTGTAATAAGAATAGTATATTTAACTACCTGTACTCATTACCAAGTTGGTTTTTAATTTAGCTTTAAGTAGGTATCTTGCTCTGATCGGAAGTTAATATTAATAGTAATAGAAGTAACAGTATTAAAATAAATATTACATAAGTAGGGTGCCTGGTTTAAGAAAGGTACAAACATATATATATTAAAGTAAAAATATATATATACACAATAATTGATAGTAATGAAGTAAAAAATAAGATTGGTTGCTATCAATTGGTTACTGGCTTGTGTTCGGTAGTTCAGAATTGAGAACGGCGCTAAATATATAAATTGTGCACTCACTAACGTGCTGCAATAGGACATCACAATTGGAGGGAGGGTAGCCATTATTTTGACCATTGGTAGACTCTTCTAGCTTGTAAACAAAATAAAGTAAAAAAAATGTTTGTTATGGTTGTTCTGTAACGACAAAATTATATATTTTTGAAGAGTATTTTAATACTAATTTCTGAAGATTCCTTTTATGAGGAGTAAATATTGTGCCTTTTCTTTAACTGCTCCTTCCAGCCGACTCAGCGACAGGTTTGAAGGTTAAAAACTCTAAACATTGAGGCTCAGTACCAGTAATGAATACAGCGCATACAGTCCATTGTGTAGCTTTGCGCTAAATCACGCAAACATATAAAGCTTTAAGAACGTGAACTTGTTAAGTAGCAACATTGTAGTTGAAGAGTTGCACACAAAAAGAAACAAGTAATTTAACAAAAGACCCTAAAGATACGTCTTTTTTTCATTGTTATTATTTCTGTTTTACTTGTTTGTATTTTTCGTTTCACAGAAAAGACGTCCGTTTACCCGTACAACTACAAAGAGCAATGGCCGCTGAAGCGGAAGCAACACGAGAAGCTCGAGCAAAGGTAAGTAATGGTTTGAAGGTTTATATTTTGATTCCTAATTAAACTAACTGAAAACAGCTTTAGTGAAGCAAGATAAAACAATCGCAACATTAATGATTGGTTTAATAGAACATCGTTTTATGGAAAAAGCTAACTTTAACTAGAAAAACTGGAGAACTGTTTGAGAAGGTGATATTTACTCTTATACATTCTGTGGATAATATGTTGTCAGTATAACTTATACAACCAGTACATCATGAATAACAGTAGTTTTATACAATTAGTGGATAATGTATTATCAGTATATTTTATGCATTCAGTAGATTATGTATTGTCAATATATTTTATGCATTCAGTATATGGTGCATTGTCAATATATTTATACATTCAGCAGGTGATGGAGTGTAAATATATTTTATACAGTCGGTAGAAAACGCATTGTCAGTATACTTTATACAGTCGGTAGGTGATGTATTGTCAGTATACTTTATACAGTCGGTAGGAGACGCATTGTCAGTATACTTTATACAGTCGGTAGGTGATGTATTGTCAGTATATTTTATACAGTCAGTAGGTGACTTATTGTCAGTATATTTTATACAGTCATTAGATTGTGTATTGTCAGTACATTGTAGTCAGTAAGAAATAATGTATTTTGCTAATAGTTCTAATACATTTAGTAAGTAGTGTATAATAGGTACATCCGGTTGAAAATATGCTGTTGGAAAATTAGGGATAGTTAGTTCTTACGTTAGTGCAACATGAATGTTTGAAGCTTTGGTAAACTGATTGCCTAAAACATTAATTGAGTTTCAGTCGGTGTTTCTGGTTCTGACAAAACAACTTTGAGATTAATGAACTGAGCTTATATTCAATTTACTCACATTAATGAGTTACAGTTAATTTAGGTTTGCAAACTTGACCAGGAGAGGGCACTGCATGTTCTAAATTTTTAATAATATTCCGAGCTAAAACTCATGATGGTTTATTTCTATACGGTGACTAATGTGTTGACAGCCTTACACATACAAGTTGCCCAGACAAGGGGTTTAGTTTATAAAGGATAAAAATATACTTTTTTAGAGAAATGGATAATATAGTAGATTGAAGCACAAAATATCTTTTAAAACATTTTTTCTGATGACATGTATTTTTGAAGAACTTTTACAAAATCTTGTTGCACCTTCCCCTATGAACCTAGGGGCCCGCAGGCCACCCAACTAAAAAAAATTGTGCTTCTTAAAACTACCAGGATAAAGGCAATAGTGAGTTATCATTATTATTAGTATTACTATTCCCAAATATTACCTGGGCCTAGAGTCCCACTAAACCTTAATCTGGCCCTGCTTTTTTTGTAGTGAACTTAAAAGAGCTTTGAAAGCTATTCAAAATCAAACGCTTTGGCAAATAAGAGAAAACTGCGTACGATAATGTTATTATAAAAACTTATTTTTCATTACTATTTGAAAATATAGTCTGATGGTGGTTTCTATTTTTACATCAAGGCGAAATATAAAAGCTAATTCTATTAAATAAGGAAGAGCGATTTATTAGCTTTAAAAGTTGAAAGATGACAACATTTTAAAACTATTTCTGATGGTCACGAAATCACTATAAAGTACTTTAATTAGAATATTCGGGGTTGCATCACGTTGTAGAAAACAAAACTATCAGACAGCTTGGAAGATCTTTCCCGCCTATTATTATTATTTTATTGCGTTTTGAAAGTGCTTCTGATATTATTAGATTAATTTTTACGGAACTATTGAGATGTTTTGAAAGTGCTTCTGATATTATTAGATTAGTTTTTACGAAACTATCGAGATGTTTTGAAAGTGCTTCTGATATTATTAGATTAGTTTTTACGGAACTATTGAGATCGAACTTGTATTTATTATATTATTATTACTCTTACCCCCCAATGGACACAGCGGTATGTCTGCGGACTTACAACGCTAGAAACCGGGTTTCGATACCCGTGGTGGGCAGAGCACAGATAGCCCATTGTGTAGCTTAATTCCAAACAAACAATTATTACTATTTACAATTTCAATTTATTCAGAACTCCTTTTTTTTTCGGTATTATAATCTTCTTGCTATTTTAAAATGTTTTTTGTTTTTTCCCCGACAGAACCAGGGAACGGTTGCTACGTTTAAAAAATCCTGGTTAATTGTAGTTCTTTTGTATCATCACAAATAATTAAACAAATTTGGTTTTTATTTGTATATCATGCACGAAGTATTCATATCATGACGTGGAATAAAATCATAAGTCAAAACACCCCCAACGGAATTCTTTCGTTATATTTCAATAAAAAATGTAGGATATTTTTTGTTTTTGTAGTTTAATTAAAAAAAATGTTTTAGGTGATTGCAGCAGAAGGTGAGCAACGAGCATCCCGAGCGTTAAAAGAAGCCTCAGAGGTGCTGTCTGACTCCTCATCTGCTCTCCAGCTTCGCTATCTCCAGACGCTTGGATCCATCGCCACGGAGAAGAACTCCACCATCGTGTTTCCCATTCCTCTGGAGCTTTTTAGGGGATTATTGAAAAAATAAAAGCGAACCGACATTGATGTCTATGAAATTAAATAGTTAAAAATGTAACAAAGCGCCATCAATTTTCACAACCAGTTCTAATGCATCTTTTGTATATTATTATCATAAAACGAAAAGGCACGGTATATACCTGACAGATCGTTAAAATTAAAGGACATTGCCATCTAGTGTCAATTTGTCAAAGCTCATTCGAATCTGCCAGAATTCTCATGGCGACAACTCAATGATTAAAATCATAATGATACTTCGAAACTCAGTTTTTAGGTAAACGGAACTAAGTAATAATGGCGCTTATCTGTATGTTCACGTTTTGCTCTCTTTTTACATCTGTGAAAAGTCGTGAAAGTGTTTAACTTTTTTATTGTTTTGTCATATCATTCTTTATTGCTAGGTTAGTTATACATCTGAAATAGTTGTTGTTTTTCTTATCTTGAACAAAGTACGATAAAGTGTAAAAGTAACTACCGTTGTACTGTTTTGTTATTGATAAATGTTGTCTCGCCTTCATTATGATATGAAATGTTTTTAATGTACATTAGGGAGCTTGATTATCTTCAATAAACCTCGTATAATTAGATTCACAAGTCACATGTTTGTAAACAATTATTTCAAGGTGCATTTTCTCCTCAAAATTTCACAAAACATATTTGAATTACGAGGAAATGCAGTCTTCCGGAAAATTTTTGTCATAAGTGTTTTAAGAAACATTATAACGCCCCTTTATCTTTAAAATGAATTATTTTAATTTATTTTTATGATTGTTGTGTAACCTTCAAGGCAGCACCAGAGCGTCCTCTACGATGTCCCCTGTCTTCGCGTGAAAGTTCATAATTTACTGTAATGACTCTTGTACAGTCTTAAGCTCCAAGTTGCTCACATATCAGAAGGACGTAAAAATAACGTTGTTTAGTCTCACACTTACATCTTTAACCCTTTTTATATAAAATAATAAAATTTTACTAAGCCACACCAACACCGTAGCCCAGTCATGCTTCAGTATTTCTAATGAATATGAATGGATTTCTCAAATTTGCTCAATTCACAACCCTTACGATCTTCTACATAAAAATAGATGGAACATTGTGACATGTGTTTTTAAATGTAATTACATGGTAAACGTATCCTTTGGTCTGTAATATAGAAAAATAATTTAAAATACAGACAAATATTGGTTTAGATTTTAGATTTAGATTTTATTACATTCGGAATCCAAACTTGTAACTCGTATGTAAACTAAAAGACAGGTCAGAGGTTCCTATGGTTCAAGCATCTCTCTCTCTCTCATTTTGAACCACTGACCAGAGGGAACGAAAGATCCAGACAGCAGCCTCATCCACCACAAGGGTGTTGTCCAGCTCTTTGAACCGAATAACGATACTGATTGCTTGACTGTCACTTTTATGATACATCTATAGCTGAAAGTACAAAGGATGTTCAACAGTAATACATATATTTATGTGTATAAATAAATAAACGAAGTTAAACAAATTTTAACGTAATTCTTGGGAGATAGTTCTTAAAACTTGTTATTTCTTTAAGTTTCTATTGCCTCTGCATTTATTAACATTATAATAATACACTGGTAGTTATGTAAAAATGCCAGCATGATTACTAGGTACTATTAGATGCAATGAAAACAAATAAACTTTAACCATTACAGTATGGTTTGGTAAAAAATATTCCTTTTTGTTAGTAATATCTAAAGTACTATCATAAAGGAAAATACTCTGGAAACTGCATTCTGTAAAAAGACATAAAAGCTTTTATTGCCACTAGGAGACAAGCTGTACAAAAATATGTTGCAATAAGGCATTTACAATATTTGCATTGTACAATAGTATTTGATAGATGACAAAAGAAAAAGATATAAATACATACATATAATCTTCACTGTAGATCTTATATAAGCAGCAAATTGCAAATGAACACAAATGTTTAATACTAGAGTTCAATAATGGCAGTGTGTGTATCTGAGTGCCATGTAAGCACTTTTAAAGGCAGTAAAAATTACTCTTACATTTAAAAACATAATACAAACAAATTAAAAATACAGAAAACAAAACAACTTCCTGTTAGCTGAAGCACACTGGTCCAACATCGAACCCAAAGGCTTGATGAGGGAAACCATAGTCTTTAGGGAAAAAATCCACCAGGGGAAGCTGTGCCAGTTTGTTTGTCCGAATTTGGAATACTGTCCTATCATTAGAGCTTCGGCTCTTTATGGAAAAAAATAACATTGACTTATATTATCAAATCACGTACATGTCTATATAAATTAAAGGAACTAATGCTTATATTACAAATGTAAAATATGATTTACAAAAATAAAAATAAAAAAAATAATTAACCATCAGATTAATGCTAAAATTATCTTTGGAAAAAGTTAGTTACCTAAAAATTCATCAATACATCTTGCTTATGAGATTTTTGTTGGTTTTATTAATAATATTTTACCCCATTGTATTTAGTTGCTGTTAAACACACAGCTACACATTGGGCTATCTGTGCTCTGCTCACTACAGGTATTCAAACCCTATTTTTAGTATCATACCCCATTGTTATTATGGAAATGATATGGAATCTACACATTCCTGTTTACAAATATAAAACAATAGCAAAAATAATTGTTCAATATAGTAGCATTTTAGATTGTGAAAGTTTTGGAAACTAAACATTTAATTACTACCTAAATTTGTGTATAAATGGAATGCCCCAAAAGTTAAAAAGTTTTTAAAAATAGCTTCTTTTTTTTACTTAATTGATTTCTTATGCATTTTTAAACTACTGAAAGACAGTAACACAGTTTTAAACATTTTGGTTCAAAAGTTTCAATTAACAAGATATTTGTAAAACGTTAATGAGCAAAAAAACATAAGATCTTTTTGGAGGTACCGATTTATTTGATAAAGCTTGTGCTTCTTTCCAAAGTTGTTTTCCACTGTGCTATACTAAAACATTATTTATATAGATAGAAACTTACTTTACAGCCATCATAAGAAACAACAGGCCTGTATGTGTGGGTCCCAAACTCTTGCTGATTATCACCCAGTAACTTGATAGAATAGGCATAGTTGAAATTTTGTTGGTTGTACCAGGCCACAGAATTAATGCAGGTGTAGGTAAAATTTTGGTAGGCCACTGAACTCAGCAATCGTAAGAATGTCAATTGCACAGGTCCAACGGTTTGGTAAGTGATCTAAAATAATCCAGGAAAAGGTAACTTAACCAAAAACCCAGATAATGTGAAAAGTATATATTTTTAAACAACAGAGTCTATTTATAAAATTTTTCTAAGTTTTTTCCTTCAGATGATTCTTCCTAGAAAACAAAAAAATAATGACTAAAATATGGCTTTAGAGTTTCAGCTTATCAGTAAGGAGCTAATACACAGTTATAAATGATCATCGTTCAACAATATACTGGGATAGATTTTAATGTGATGTTAAATTTTTATGAAAGTCAATGTAGGAGAAAACACAATATAATAACTATAACAAGCTACCACAGTTTACTTACTTTAAATCCACCCTGTAAACTACTGAACCATTTAGCTTTGTTGCCTCTCTTCCATGATAAGTTTGGCATCTGAGGAGAATAAAATGAAATAAAGAAATAAGTGTACTGATTTGTATCATTTATGCGTCAAAAATCCCACAATGGAGTGGGTAGTTACTTCTGTAAATTAAAACTTTAACACAGTTGTTATTGCTTGTCACTCCAGGTCTGGGCTTACAATTACACCCTGATACTCATTTTGTAAATTTGCTGTATGTAAAGGACTGAGTTGGCTGGCTAGCATATTGTATACTGTCAGATTTTAAGTTATGTTTGCCAACTGTCAGTTAAAGACTTATACTTCTTAATAGTAGACATATATACTGTGTTGTTGTTGGGCTTAGGATTCTTCTACAGTAGGTGTCTGCGACTTGTTGGCAATAAATTCAATGATAAATGAACAGCATGTGCTCCACTTGTTTTCAAAATAATGTATATATTCGGAACAAGTTAAACGTATGTACAACAACTTTTTCACACTATAGAGATTATAGGTATATCATAAACACTATATATATATAGTTCTCTTCTTCTTATCAAAAGTCCACTTATGTCTATTCAATTGCTTTAGAATTTCACTTGACAAGCCAAACTACCTTTCTCTATTTCTATCGCACTAGTATTCTATGTATAATTCATTTATTCTGCCTCATTGAGTTACTGCAGTTGTATCCTGAACTTCCGATACACGTCTGCATTTTTGTGTTTTAGGCCTACTTCCAATAATCATCTGATTTTTTTTGTAAAAATCCACAAAGACAGGCTCAATTACTTTAGAATACCCTTTGACAAGACAAATTCTTATTCTTTTCTCCCTTTCTACTGTTAGTCCTACTCTTAACATATTAAAATTAGGCCTATCACTTCTATGGCAGTTAACTTCATGCCGAACTTTCCTTGGCCATGACTTTACTATCTTTTGTTATCGTATGTCTTCTGTTTCCGCTCGTCTCACACTGTTTATATGTTTATCAGTTAATCGTCTGCCCACCTTCTAGAAATCTCTATATTCTCAACATCAATGTATTGCACACAACATTCAATAGTCTCAACACCAATGAATTATAAACACAACTTCCACCAATCATTTCCTTTTAACTCTCTTATTATAAAAAACTAAACAATCATAAAATATTCACTCACATTATGAATTAATCAATAATATCAACATAGAATATTTTTTGTATATCATGACATATACCAAGACTTAATGAAGAGGGAACTTTCAAAAATGCTCACAAACCTCTGGTGACAGTTACATTTTATCTTAAATCAGTGAACATTTATTATATTTGCAGGTCTAAGCTGATTAATGTATTGTATATTCAAAAGTAGCATAAACATATTGTACTTTAATACTTTTTTTTTATTCTTAAATCTAATAAAAACATTTGTTAGGAGCACACAAATCAAAATTGGTTAATGTATTTTCTGTGCTTCAAGGAAGGTGTACTTTCTGGGGTACATCATGGTTAGACCTGACTTCACAGTACAGGGCCAGGGCCAGGTGTGTGTTAGGGTGGGAGGTGCACCCCCAAATTTCACTCTGACCCAACCAAGTTAATTCTCCCTAGCAGTTTCAAAACTCATGTTATCAAATTTTAGAAACTCATACGAATCTTTTAAATTGCTAAGACGAGTCAACTTTGGTGGGACAAACGTGTTTGTTATATTAGCTTTCCTGTAAATCCATATTACTGTGTGTTGGCCCCCACAAAGAAGAGGAGTTGGAGCCAAGCCTCCGTAACTACCAGACTTTAATAATTACAGCAATTAAACTATATCTTGAAACTTACCATAGAAGCGTGTTTGTCAGGATACACACAGGTTTCACCTGACCCTGTCATATTACAAAAGACAAACACAGAATCATCAGGGACTCCCAAATTTGGGTCAATCCAATACCATCCTGTTAAAGAAAACAATAAATTCTGAGATAATATTGGTCCAAAGATTTCTGCAAATCTGAATATTCATACATCTTATTCACCAGCATCTCCAAAGTACAGTTATTAATAATATGCTACTGTATCATTAAAAATGATATTTCAATTCTTGGTCATCAGGTGGTCAGTTAAAAAAATACTTCCTGGGGTAAAATTTAACAACTGTTAATTAAAAATATTTTATTATGACTTCAACTTATCAAAAAGATGGAGACAAAATAAATATCTCAGACTTACCATTATCTAGTTGAGGATGAGCATAATAAAGATCTTTACAGGACCTGGCTGGATTCTCTCGGGTTCCAACAGGTTTTTTCATCTTTTCCAAGTCTTTTTTTATGGAATAGATGTTGGCATACATGTTATATAACTTCTTCTGAAGGCCTGCTTCAGGTCCAGATTCTTTTGGCTCTTTGATATAATCTTTATCAAAATCAGTACTCCTCTTGTACCTTAAGTATGGTGGTCTGTCTCCTTGGAAAAGCATCTCTGGAGGAATCTGTGGTGCTTCTGCTGGAGGTCCCTAAAAGTGTGCATAATATTATTTTCAATTAAGGATGTCATAACAAAGGTCTATAACACAAAAACACACCATAAGTTTGCAGTATTGGTCTCAAAAGTTTAGCAAAAAAGAAAAAAGCATGAATGGAGAAAAAATTATTTTTGTGAGTTTATCAACCTACTTTCAATCTTAGAATAATGGTATGTGAGCTTGCAATAGAGGTAAAGATGTCTCAAGACTTGTAGAACAGCAGAATCTAGAAGGAGTACACACTTTGCAAACTATTTTATGACTGTAAACAATTCTGTTTACAAATAAAATTTACTTACTGTTCGATGTTCACAACCATTACTTCTCTTTTTTTTTTACAGTGTAACTATATGTTAATTATATTTCTATCTTGAGCACTGATGTTCATTTTTTTTTCAAGAAAAGCTACATGAGAGCTATCTTATCTTGATTATAGAACTGGCAAAAACAAAGTTTGTAATGAAACTTTCTGCCTACCAATTAAGAGTACAAATTAAAGAAGAATAAGTTATTTTTCTACTCTATGAATGGTTCCCAAAATTTCTTAATAATCTTTTGTATTATTTATTCACTATTCTTTTATTTTCTCACAGAAGCAAATTACCAGATCTCCAACCAGGAGAAAATATAAAGTTGGCCTATAAAACTTTAAAGTAATATTCTATGGTATATCAAACAATTTAATGACCAATGAATAAAAGAAACAGTAACTTGTAGAGGTAATCAAAATGATAAATTTATATTATAAATAACTCCTACTTACAGGTGGTCCTGGAGGTCCCTGTTAAAACAAACAAACACAATATTCAAATATATGTATAATAATTGAATAAAAACTTTGAAAAACAGTTTTAGTTGATTACAACCTAAGACTGTACATAAACATTTAGTTAACTAGGCTTAAGAAAGTGTTCTAAACTTTATCATGTATAAGTGTACCCAAATATATAAACTAAGCTATTTTGTAACATGAATCATCTAGTATTAGCAAATTCTTTCTAAAACATATAATTCATTAAATTGTATTGGGCTTTAAACTTTTTGGACAGTTTAATACTTAAAATGTTTATATGTATAATGCACCACCAATTACAGTTGTTTTTAATACATGAAAATTTCTTGAAATCAGCCATTTTATGTAATGACACTGGGTCTTAGATTTGTCTTAATTCCCCATATAAGTTAAAGCAGGCCATATTTGTATCTAACATTATTACAGTTCTAAAGTGTGCATTTGATATATATGCATTTATAAATATTTCAAGACCACTGTAATATATCTACTACAATTATAAATAGTTATCTGTAATTCTCTCTTGAAAATAAACACTGAATAAATATCTAGTTCATATCAATTTATCATTTTTAGGTACCAAATTTATTTAACTTCCTAAAATCTCAGTATAGTCTCAAGATACTCAGTACATGTCTGTAGTTTGTAAAACTATTGTTACGTATCTGCTTGTTTGTTAATTTCCGGTAGAATTTATATCCGAGGAACTTCAGTGATACACGTCCTTTCTTGATTAAACCAGTTTATTATTTCTCGATACAAGCTTTTAGTGCACAGTAATTCTACTGTCAGTACTTTTCTCGTCACTTTAAACTTAACAACTTTTATAATACATGCTATAAACCACAACGATTCACAATCTCGATAACTTTGCCGAAAACTTACCGTGTCTACTGTTGGCTTTATCATACATTCATTTTCGTAGGCTTTTTCTGCCAGGTTTATATACTAAAGAAGGGGGCATCTCGAATGCACTCGGGCCTGCCCAATCATTCATGATCATTCGAGAAATTTCATGCACGCTACGAGCACAAAATGCGCCAGCAGCGTCACGTGACTTCCGCTGTCGTAACACTATCAAACTTAAAAAAATTATCTCAAAGAAATCAACAAACTTACCAGTGGTCCAGGATCACCTTTTGGTCCAGTTGGTCCCTGTTAAAAGAAGAAAAAAAACAAGCAAATTATTTAGTAAACTAGATTTGTTTTTTGCAGTATGGTAAACTGCCTCAATACCTGAAAAGTGGTAAGACATAAAGTACAAATATGCAATAATCATTATGACAAACAGCCTCAATAATTGAAGCAGTAATATAGAAGGTACAATACACAATAGACATTACAATAAACAACTCAATAATTGAAAAGTGGTAAGATAAAGGATATACCAACATACAATAGAAAGTAAAGTATGATAAACTACCTAAATACAAGAAAAGTGGCATGATAGAGTGTACCAATACTCATTAAACAGTATGATAAACAGCTTCAGTACTTGAAGTGAAATGACATTGTACTAGTGCTCAAAATACAGTATTGTAAACAGCATCGATACTTGAAGTGGTATGACAGTGTACCAATACTCAATAAACACTACGATAAATAGTCTCAATATCTGATGGGTGTTAATTTGAAACTGCTAGCTGCAAAGAACTGTAAAAACAGTAGAAGGTAGAAGAGAGGTCCATCCTTTGACAAACTGTAACAAGAGGGGTTCCATTTTCAAAAGTAATTGGGTAAGAGAGGGTTGTTATCTAGCAGAAATTACAGCAGTGAGCTCAAACATTAAAACATGATGTGAAAAGGGTTCAATAACTTATTGTTGCCATGAAAGAAGAGCACATCCCACCCCCCAAGCATGCAATAAAAAAACATTATTTTAAATTGGATAATTAATTTGTCTTTTCTTTGTTTGTTTTTTTTACAGAATAGCTATATTTCCAAACTCCCATTGTGTATTATAACTTCATTACTGATGACATTTACACATATCTTTGTATTTATAAAAATAGGCAATGTATCAGAATATATTATTTCAAAACCACACTCCTGTGTCTATAGTATCTGCCTGAATTATGGCAATTTATTTCTTGTATCATGTATCCAATATCTAGCTTTACAGCAAAAGAGCACCCCACCCCCCTCATTATTAACCCTTATAAGCTAAGTAATAATGAGAAAATGAAAATCAGTAATTTTATTTTACTTTTTGTCTGACTGATTTCCTGACAACTTATATCAACTGAATTAGAAACTCAAAAATAATTTTGAGTTTATAGAGCTCCAACTCAATCAAAGTTACTTGCATGAACATGAACAGGATTTCCAGTATTTATGTAAGTAATGAACAACAACATGTAAATATTAAAAAAAAAGGTTCACATCTTACTGTAGATCCTTTAGGTCCTGCTGGTCCTTCTGGTCCCTAGAAAAAAAAAATGTGGACTCTTTCACTAATTTTTAAATCCATTTAAATAACATTATAAAATTTTGTGCACTAGAAATGGTAGAAAGTTTTCATATAGTGAGGTTCAAAAATATTTACTTGCTATTTGTAATGCATATTTCACAATATTAGTCAAGTTAAAAATACTGGGGTGTAATAACCTTAAAATAAGCAGAGTGTAATCATGCCTCTTTAACCTGGTGTTTAACAAATGTATGTTGATATTTTTCATATTTCCATAGTTCCAATTTTTAACTACTTACTTTTACATTCAGTTAAATACAGTCGCATCTCTTTACACAAACTGACCATTCAATGCCAAATAACTACAAACTTTATACAGCCATAATGTTAAAAAATGCAAAACTATTTCAGACTTGTTAATGAAAACATAATATTTTCACAAACTCGCAAGTCAGCCTTTGAATTTCACCTTTCTTGAATGGTTTATCAAATACATGCTAAATTAACTAATTTTTGATACCTCATTAATCATTCTTTGATTCAACTGAAACATGAGAAAACTGAACCTACCAATTCCCCTTGTGGTCCATCATTCCCTTTTTGACCCTCCATTCCTGGTGGTCCCTGTGGGAAGAAATTCCAATCATTTGTTTTAAATTATAAATTGTCTGGAGTTATGCAATAACTGGTTAAATTAGTCTATGGAATTTTTTTCTCTTTCAGTACTACAGTTACTATTATCCTGGTATATCACATTGTTTTTTTTACACAAGACTGTAATATATACAAAAACAACAAAAAAACACTACAATAAGCTTAATTAATTATATTTTTCTTTCTTAAATTTCAAAAAAAGACTGCAAAGAAAATGAGTCTTACTTCCACCTTCTGGAGTTAACATAGAATGTATAGTTAACCTTTCACTGCACAATTAATTTTTAGGGTGATTCCCAAAAAGTGTCAATTATCCACCAAAAGATAAAAGTATGAGGTTGACCCTTTGTATTATTTTTTCAATATTGAAAGAAGTGTATTTTCTAAATCTGACAGTAATATTCCTTGAAAACTGTACTGGGTAGTGAATAAGAGTCCAAAATCATAACAAAAATATAAAACAAATTATTTAGATAACAATATCCAAGATATGAAGAAACTGTCTACATAGATTCTTTATGTGTTCATGCAAAGTTGGCAATTTTGTAATGAGGCATATAAACATCCAGGTTTCATGGCATAGAACACAGATGGCAGCACATACACGCAGGTTTGGTGATTATTTTAAGTACAGGAGGATATTCCCACATGTTGTAATAGAGGGAAACTTTTTTGCTAGCTGTGGGGTAAATCCAAATTTCACAACAAAAGGGGTAAATAATTATTGACTGTTTTTTTCAGAAAAACTGAGAAGAGAAAAAAATTGCATTTTAATTCAAATGCCAGGAATCTTCATATCACAACAAAACAAGTTAATTTTTTGATACAATAAACCACCAAATACTAATTTAGATAAAAGAAATAATTTTTTATCTTGTACTACAGACATATCTGCTGAACGATATCTGAATATTAACGATTTATCCATATTTACCCCTGTATCTGCTGAACAATATTTGAATATTAACGATTTATCCATATTTACTTCTTTGTATCTGCTGAACAATATTTGAACATTAATGATTTATCTATTGTTAACTTCCCTGTATCTGCTGAACAATATTTGACCATTAATTATTTATCTATTGTTAACTTCCCTGTATCTGCTGAACAATATTTGACCATTAATTATTTATCTATTGTTAACTTCCCTGTATCTGCTGAACAATATTTGACCATTCATTATTTATCTATTTTTAACTTCCCTCTATCTGCTGAACAATATTTGACCATTAATTATTTATCCATTGTTACATTCCCTCTATCTGCTGAACAATACTTTATCTTTAATTATTCATCCATTGTTAACTTCTCTGTATCTGTTGAACAATATTTGACCATTAATTATTTATCCATTGTTACTTTTTTTGTATCTGCTGAACAATATTTGACCATTAATTACTTATTCATTGTTAACTTCTCTGTGGAAGACTCTTTTCAACATGAACCTTTCTTAGCTCTTTCAGCTTGGGCTCGGTCCCAGAGACTGATCTTGTAACCATTTTATGCTTGCTATAGTTTTCATGCTATGACTTTTAAATTGGTAAGCAAATGTTAACGAAATTTGGCAGATTATCAGTAAATATTACAGTGCTTTCATTCGCAAAATATCAATTTTTTTTATTAAGTCTTAAGGTTTGTAAAACAATGTTTTTCTCATGTCTTTTTTTTTCATATGTTGCCTATCTATCATGCAAAGTAATATTCATTTTAAGATTAAAAATACTTGTACGCATCAGAAAATTTTCAAATTTCACATGCAAAATCTTTATAATGTTGAGATAGTTATCAAATGTTTTTTAAGAAATAACTTTATATCTTATCTATTATTTTCAGTAATTAATCTCTGTACGGGTTCGGTAGATTTGTAAATTAGGAAATAAATAT